GCTCAAGCCTCGGGCCGCGGGGGGCTCCATTGCGGCGGCTGTCAGCCCACCTCCGGCAGCTAAACGGGACGTTTCCCGAACACCCTGCGGCACCCCAACGCGGGAGAGAGGACCACTGAGGACGGAGCTTGCAACGACAGAGCCTGCGGTTGTGCCGGCCGTGAGTCCTAGTGCTCTGGATGCTTGTGTGACGACTCCCTCTAGTGAAGTTGCCCACAGGATCGGAGGGAGTAGCGCCGCCTCGTGTCCACCCCGTAGTGGAGGCAACATTAGGGACCCACCGCCTGGCGTACGACGTCCACCCAGCCCCCGGACACGGCCCATGCACGCAACATTTCCGGAGGGGATTAGGACGGTCGAGGCATCACAGCCCCCTTGCGCTAAGTCTCCCACGGACTCACTTGGCCTGACGGAACCAAAATCGTATCTCCCTATGCCTCCCCATGGCCCGACGCCCATCCCCGCCAGGCCTGTGCCCGCTGTCCAAGCTCGCAAGGAAAGTCGGCCTCTCGTTTTGGACAAAGACGGCTCTCAGCATCTGGAACCGCCAAAAGCCAAGCCTCGAGGGCCTAGCGAGCCCAGCGGCACCCGCGACCCCAGCGCCCCAGCCTGTGCACCCATCATGCAGAGCAACACAGGCTCGGTCTGTGATCTCATGTGGCGCGCACTTGCAGCGGGACATCACTTTGGTAAGAATGTCAAAGTCTTAGACTGTCGGGGGCATTGCAGCATTTTGACCTTGCTGAAATGTTGGATTGCCCGGTTCCGCAGCTGGACAAAGCAAGGCTTTCGGAGTCCCTGGTGGGGTATGGCTTTCTTACCACAGCGCAGTACATCGCGGATCTTTTCTCTGCGGTGTCGGACTTGCCGAGTGTCATCAATGCCAGTTTTCCTGCAATGCTCAGCTACGCTGACCCAGATTATTGGCTGGGTGCACTTCTGCTCGCATTCGAGTCCCACCAAAAAGGTCCCCTGGAGCGAACGGCCGGGCTGCCCATTGTTATTGGTTTTCCTGAATCTGACAATAAAATTACTGACCTGCAGATCAATGTGCCGCCCGCAGCCATGGTGGCCTTCTTAGCTGGCCGCGCTTATCGGTGTCCCAAGTGCCCTACTACCAAATATGTGATGGACGCGCACAGTGGACTGCCACAAGTCACTGGCCAAGCCTCCCAAGAAGCCTTGCAGGCATGGGCCGCAGCTGCTAAGCACACGGACGTGGAAAAGGCCAGGCTTGCCCAGCCCAACCTGAATACGTTCCTAGGCATCACGCTGCAGGGCACAGAGACACTTGGGCAAAGGCACTATCAAGAATTTAGACCGGACCTCCCCCCTGCCCATTTCCTTGACGCCATCCGGCTTGCCCTTGCGGCCTCGGTGGCCAACCAAAACATTGAACACTTTTGGTCAGTTTATAACTTGGAATGGCCTGACACTTCTCACAGAATGGGTGTTTTTCTACGGCGAGTGTTGCCCCTAGAGTGCTTGCTCTCCACGCCCTTGGCTGCGCCGGTGGATGTGAACACTGCGGCAGCCTCGCCGGAGGTCGTCAGCATCTCTTCTGAAACTAACGAAGGTTCTCCCTGCCCGATGGATGACATGTCGGATGCGGAGGACGAACCCGAGGCACAGGTGAATGATTGGCGCTTCTCGGAGCTGCGAACCACTGACCTTGCAGCTTTGCGAGAAGTGGATGTCTCAGCCCCTTTCCGACTGCCAGTCATCTTCGAAGCGCATTGGAAAGGGATCAGCACCACACCCACCAAGCATGGGCCAAAACGTGCCCGAAATGAGTGGTATGACGCAGCCACTGCTCACTGGGCTGCCATTAAGGGGCTCATGCGAGCTAAACATCCAACCAAGCAGCGACTCAACAGCTTCTGGTTTAAGATGTACTGCCATGGCACCTCCAAGGACCCTGATCCTTCGGCCCTACGTGCGGCAGTTACCTCCTTCCCCTACCAGTATAAGGACGAAGGTGTTGTGCAGTACCGGCAAATCCAGGAAGCTGTCCGGGTGATGTGGCTCGCGGCCCAAACCTCAATGACAAGATACAGAGGTATCCCCATTCCGGACGGCATCCCTGAGTGGGGGGTTGATGAGCAAGAGCTGCCCCCAATGCAGGTCATGCCCAGCCGTACGCGTTCCCACACCACCTCCGATGGCCACCGCTCTCGGCGTCCGGACTGGGAGGGCTCCTGGCAATAGACAGCAAGCCATTGAGTCCTTTCATGGCATGCTGCCTAGCGTGATGTGAGCCCTCACATCTCCTCGCCGATACATGCCGCAAGACTACCTCGGGATATTCTTGGTTTGGCAACCCTATGTGGTCTATGCCACGGATTGGATCGTGCTTGTCTTCGGTGTGCTCACTGCCTGCACCTGTGAACACCCTTCTGTGTCGGCCCTGCGTTGTGCCTATGGTGACGGGGGGCCTTTCTTTCGTGGTTGCTCCACTGGCCATCTGCCACGGACTACCCTGGGCCGGTCCTGCCTGGACGTTCCAGCTCTGTCATGTGTAAAACGGCCAATCTTCCTTTCCTCTGCCCCCTCTAGGTGGGCAGGTTGCCTGCTTCTATGTGCTACGATCAAGTGTGAACCCCTTGGACTAGAGGGTTGGCCATCTCTCGTCTGGAAGGTGACACCCCCCTGGCGTACAACGACGTCATGCCTATTGGGAGAGACCAGCTAGGGGATGCTGCTTCCGGGTTGTGGACACTCCTATGCGGAGATCAGGTTTCCACTTCCCTGGCAATGTGCCATCGAGCACCTGTGAACAACCTGGCCTTCACGAGAGCCATTCTCGCCTGTGCTTGGGTTGCTACGGGGTTCCCTGCCTGCTTGGTGTCTATCTCTGCTTGCACAAAGCAGCCATACATGACTACCTCCCCATCGGTAGGTGGCCAAGCGTGATGTGAGCCCTCACATCTCCTCGCCGACGTCTGTCAGTTTGGGCATGGACGGTCTGAGTCTGTGTATTGAACCCTCAACCCCGGCCAAGGAGATAGTTGCTTGGCCTTGAGTGCGAAGTTTCGACTGGGGGACTCTCCCGCTTTGGTTCACCTGATGGCTCTGAGTGGAACGAAGCAGTCAAGCCTGCTTTGGCCGGCGGACGAGCTCTTGTGAGTCAAAAGAACGTGGCGCTTTGTGCTCGGAGAGGCTCCACTGGCTGACCACCATGGAGTACTCTGGGCTGGTCCTACCCCTTTGTTCTTGCCGTTAAGTCCCCACTGGCTGACCACCATGGGGCAACCTTATACTTCGGAACACGAAGGTTGACACCTACAACGTTCCGTGCTGAGGCACGACTTTGCTCCACCTGTGATGGCGAAACTGTGAACCATCTCGTGAACGGCCTTGGCTGGTGCTGAATGTATTCGCATTGGTGGCTGCATGATGGTGATGTGAGCCCTCCCATCTCCTTACCGACGTACCTCGCGGGTTTGGGTGAAGGGACCTGATGCGTGCCGATGCGCAGGCCAGTACCAAAGTGGCGTAGCCTTGTGTGAGATGCCTGGACTGGGAGGTCCCTCGGTGTCATTAAAACCCTGTGGCGTTAAGGGTTTGATAACTCGCCGTGCACTTTCCCCGTGGAATCGGTAGCTGCTGCTACTCTCGCCCCCCCTCTGACCGTGCGCCGGCACCTCTGAGGGTGGGCCCTTGTGCGCCAGGTAATCGGTAGCTGCTGCTACTCTCGCCCCCCCCTCTGGCCGTGCGCGGGCACCTTTGAGGGTGGGCACTTGTGCGCCAGGTTGACTGGTGAACCCTGTGCTCGGAGCTACTCCACTGGCTGACCACCATGGAGTGCCCTGGGCCGGTCTGGCCTGGATTGTTCTTGCTGTTAAGTCCCCACTGGCTGACCACCATGGGGCATATGCACATCTTTCATCCCCCCTTGGGAGTCTGACTTGCAACATCCTTTCGCCATTGAGTGTTGGTTGTCTTTCCTTGACAACGATTAAGCGATCCGAACCTCGTCTGATGACCTCGGGTTGACTAACCGCTGTCGCACCAGTGTCTACATGATGGTGGTTTTGTGAATCTGGCAATGTCGCATTTTGCGAATTCCCCACAAGCTCTGTGCTTCCTTGTGCACCGGGACTTCATTGACGACCTCGAGTACTGAGTCCGTGGGGTATCTAGTAGTTTAGCGCGATTGCTCGCTTTGTTTCTTCGGTGTCTGTTCTTTGGTGGTTTCGTGTTGTGTCTGGCGGGTTGTGTGCGCTGACTCTGTTTCACCCTTTTTGTCGAGCCCAACAAGACCGGCCTACTGTGCTACTGATGTAGTAAAGAGGCGCCAGAGGAAAAAAAAAAAAGCTCGGACATGGAAATAGACGCGATTACCTGCCTGCAGGACTCTGTTGTTAAGCCCCAGCCAGGACCGAGCATCCTCAAGAAAGCGACGACAGGAGGAAAGAAGGCGGAAGCCGAGAAGCCGCAAGGAAGAGAGAGCGGTGATTGCCGGCATGCTTTGCTTGAGACTCCGTTTGCTTTCTTGTTGCGAGGGCTTAGAGCCGAAGTATCCCCGAAAGTGGTCCCTGAAGTTCCTCAAGAATGCACCGAAAACACCCCGAGAGTGCCCGAGAACACCCTGAAAGTGCCCGAAATGCCCAAAGAAGTGTCCAAAGAACAGCCCAAACTAACCCCTCAACTCATTAGGAAGCCTGTTGAAAGGCCCGTGGCATGTTTTGTGGCATGTTTATTGGCATGTTTTGTGGCATGTTTATTGGCATGTGGTGCGGCATGTTTTTCGGCATGGTGTTTTGAACTTGTTGTTTTTGAACGAACGGAGCAAGCTTTGGCCGAACAGTATTTTGGATTGTCCCAACTGTCCTTTTGTAGAGATCATGGGGGCGCGTGCTGCCTCGGTGGACGACGCTCCTCAGCGCTTTGCGCGTTCTCCTACGCCAGCTCGGTCACCGACCCCGGAGTTTTACCATCATCTTGCAGAAGCCGAAAGGCTAGAACAAGAAGGTATCGAGGAGGGAGAAAGGGCAAGGATGGAAGCTGCCGAAGAAGAGCAGCGTCATGGAGAGAGCAAAGCCGGCATTCACATGTCAATTGCTCTAGCTGCCCGCTCTCGAATGTTGCCCTCGATGGAGGAGCAATTTCCTCTTATCCCTACGCGGCGTATCGATTTGGAGGAGGACTCATGGGGCGATTGGGCCAGCCACTCTCGAGTACGCACTTTTGTGCGGCGACAAGAAGAGTTGTATGCAGAACAGGGCCAGAGCTGGACCTATTGGTGGCACAAGAAGGAACAGCAGCCTATCCCATCGTGCAGGGATTTGATTGGCGAGCCTTTGAATCTTCTGAGCAAGGCTATGACTGTGCCGGGGTACTTGGAGGAAATGGTGGTTGGGAGTGCAGTGCCTGCTCTTCCTTTGGAGGATGGAGAAGTCATTTTCTGTCCCTATGGATCCACCGAGGATGTGCCTTGGGCTCATGGTTGCCTTCCTCAAAAGGAACAGGAGCTCAGGTGGTTGCTTCGCGAGCCTCCTTTGGAGCAACCCGAACGCCCGATCGAGACGGCAGAGGTGGAATGCATGACCACCGAATTGGAGGACCATCACGAGAAGATCCTTTCCCAGCTTACCCAGGCTGCTTCGGCCGTGGATTTTGGATGCAGCTTGAAGGTCATCACCATCGTGGTGGATCAACTTGGGGAATCTTTGGTCTCCAACAAGTCCGTGCACCCCAAGTTGCTTCCGATGTCTTACCACCTTCAGCAAGGCCACAACTTTGCCCTGTACCTCCTTGGGTTGGTGAACTTGTACCAGGAGCACAACGAGAAGTACGACATTGGCCATGCGGAAAGGGTGACGTCGGAAACCACTCCGATGTGGATACAGAAATGCATCTGGGAAGTGATCGGCAATGTGATCAAGCACGAGGCCAAGGAGCATTACTCCCTGGAGGAATATCGGGCGTCCACAAAAGCTGCCCGAAAGGGTACCTCTGCGCGTGTGTCCTCCCTGCCTTCTTCCTGTTTGTCGCATTCCGGCGATCCCGCCACCGCCGGTAGGGCAGCCACTCTGCTCGGAGGCGCATTCAGGGTGTGATAGCCTAGAAGCAGTCCAGCCAACCAGTAGTCTTGTTGTAGTGACAGGCCATGCCAGGGAAAGCGGCGTTTTTGACCTCCGCGACGTCGTGAATAGCGAAGAAGAGGTCAGCAATGTGCTGAGCGAAGTTAGAAAATCAATTTTAAAACCATAGCCATAGCCAATGATGGACTCCTGCAACTTTCAAGCGCAAGGCCCTATGTAGCGGGAATTTTCCAGGCTGGCGGCCAGGCGCATGCAGAGGTTGATTGTGGGCGTTTCAATCAGGAGATACGAAGCCGGGAAGGTTTCTGGAAGGAAGAGCAGCTGGTTGGCGATCTTCAATCGGGTTCGACAGAAACTGCGGCATGGTCCCTGATGAAGGTCTCATAGCAGCTGTACGCTTCGAGCTGCTGCTCGCGTAGTCAGGTGGGAGGAGTCCTTCAGGACCAGGAAGGGGATTGACCCACTCTCCGACCGGCCAGCCCTCGCTCAATCTCTTCCATAGCAGGCCGTTGCACGTTGTGAGTTCATCAGTGTCGATGGCTGTGCTCTCCCTGTTCGTCTATAGTTGCATTTGGTTCGCCATGCGTCGGTTTCGGAACATTCGCCTTTCCGGATCAGATGCCTTTTGATCCCTGTGCGGGCTTTCGCGGGGAGGGAGGGGGAGGAGGCGTTTCTCGCGGATGGCCAGGCTTGGCCAGTCCCTCTGCACGCCTGGGTGAAGGGGGCTTGGGAGGAGTGTTGCCGGAGGATGGGCACAAGCGTACACAGTAAAGGGTGGCCCCGCCCCGGAGCGCGGGCTGGGCTGCAGTCCCCTACCCTCAGGACGGGGGGCAACTCTTGGGAATGGCTTGGCCTGGCCAATTCCCTCAGCGAATAAGGAGAGAGGTGTTGATTTCTCCTGCAACTGGCCGCCGCTGTCGGGGGTGCTGCCCTGCTTTGGTCGGTCCCCCTCAGCGGTCGTGGGAGCAGCCGTTCGCCTCGGTGAGCTATCTTGGTGCCCAGACTGCGGGCAGGAGCCTTTGGGATTGAGCCGCCCACTGTATGCCAGCTGCATGTTCATGAGGAGCATCGAGCGGTGTTTCGCCAGCAGAGCCGCTAGGTACTTGGTAGCTCCGTCGTCGTTCCCCGCTCCCTGATGTAGGCAATAGACAACATGCGGCAGAGGCTCCAGGCAGTACCCTTGTGCCTGCAGCTCTGATGAGGTGCCCACAAAAATTTTGAGCAGAATCCCTGTCTCTCCGCAACTGTACTCCGGCGGAGGATTTCAAGGCTTCCGCCCTTGCCGGCCTTCACCGCCCACGCAGCGTCGAGGCTGCTTGGCATGGCCATCAGGTCAATTCCCACTTTGCGGGTTTGGCGTTGATATACCTCAGGCAGGGTATGCTCGCGATACGCATGTTGACTAATTGTCCTGGACACGCCGGGCTCAGTGCTATGCCAAAGACTGGCTTTCGCCTTAAGGTACGTGTTGTAATCGATGTGTCCTTTGCGCGCACAGGCTGCCATTTGGAAACAGGCGCCGAGGCCTTGACGGTATACCTATAGGGAGGCGACATCAGGATCACGGGTCCAAGGCCACGAGTGTAAGCGGCCGTGGCCCTAGCAAAGCCAGCCTCGTTCTGGAAGAGGAAACCGGAGGCCTTGCACGTAACGAAGATGAGGACCCCATATGTAGGGCCGGTGGCGCATGCTGTGGTGATGGCCTCAAAGAAGCGCCGCAGGGCACCAACTCGCCTTAACAGAAAGGTCCTGAATTCGAGCAAGTCCCACCGACACGGATCGCCCCGAGGGCAGTCATTCGCTTCTCTACATGCCTCCAGCAATGTCATCTCCGGGGTGCCCAACTCCTGGACATGGTGCAAAAGATTCAGATGTGCCTTGATTTGCGTGACAACCTTTTCATACTGGGAGACGAAGCCAATTCGAGCATTCTTTCGGATTTCATGCCCGAAGGTCAGAGCCACATCGGCAAGCAGGTAGGTGAGCTCGTAGCTTTGACCAATGCGTGTGCGGTCCTCCGGCCGCTCTGGCACGCTGACCCACCTGCAGGTTTCCAGCCATCTTCCAGCCCTGCTGCGTAGCGGCCTGGTCAGGAGGTGCTCCATTGTAGGCCCGGTAGGGAAGACCAAGCTTGGTCTGTCCTGTTGCATGACAAATGTGCATCCGGAAGCGACAGGCATATACTATGTGTGAAACTCCGGCGGCAGCCGTAGCGACGTGCTAAAGAGAGATGTTGATTGGCCGGTCACCTGCCATCCCTTCGAGTCCGGCTGCTTGCAGAAGTGTGGCTGCCTGCGCAGGACGGCTCTGGCTGAGGTCCAGCATCGAGCAGAGGATGCCAAGCGCTGGAGCTTCGTTCGGCGTTAGCGTTGCTGTTGCCGGCACTTTGAGTGGGGGGGGGGGTAGTAGTTCGGGTGTGGGTCGTAAAGGATCTCATACTGCAGCTTGCGTGGAAGCGCGTCTAAAGGAGGAGGTCGGGATGGCATTGAGCCCGCATTTTTTCCGCTCTAAGAGTTCAGTCACGAAGTGGTAGTTGGGGCGGGAGCCACCTGCCGGCTGCCTATGGTCACCTATCATGACATCTAGCGCAGCTCCGATTTGAGCCAAAATGCTGTTGGCAGACGGAGTCCCTAATTGTTGCACTTCGTCTCGCAAAGCCACGTCGACATTCGGCAAGGCCTTGGCCAGATCCGAGTAGGCATAACCTAGATGCAAATTCACCGCGCCGTGAGTGCAGGCGAAGAGCTTGGCTCGCCTTATCTCGTTGTCATCGAAGGGAAGAGGGTGCTTATCCTTCTCCTTTCTTGCTGGGACTCGGACCACCAGGCCTCGAACTGTGTCGTGGCTTTGCGTCAAGAGCCCATCCACGGTCTCCGCAAAGGTGCGAACGGACTCATTCCCATGCGCCGTGTAGAGGACGCTGCGCTGTGCCATGCCCGTAAGGAGAACCCCCCATGAAAGCACATGCCCGTGTCTTGCCGCTGCCTGGAGCTCCTGTGACATGGACCGCAGTCCTGTTTGCAGCCAGGGAAAAGGAGGAGACACCAAGCAAGGCAGCCAAGTGCCCGTCCGCCCCCCACATGGTGTCGCTTAAGCGGATTAGGAAACTCGGGCCAGCTGCCAATGCGAAGGTGGCAACGCGGGTTCTTGGGTCCATTGCCTCGTCGGCTAGGGGGGGCCTTTTGCTGGGGAAAGGGACAAAGCTCTGCCAATGCGCGCTGTCCATGGGCTTGTAGTGCATTATCTTGGCAGTCTTCCTCCTTTCAAAGGGAAGTGTGGTGAGCATTTGCATGCCTCCATAAGGCTCATGTCAGGGTCACCAAAATGTTCATCCGTTTTGCTCAAGCTTAAGTGCTCCTTGCACCACCACTTTGGAGTACTACGAAGCCAATTCGGGCGCGGAGATGGATCGCGTGGCCAAAGGTGAGCGCAGTATCCGTCAGGAGCCAGTCGAATTCTCGGTTTTTTCCGACTTTCGTGCTGCGGAGCGGCTATCTGCCAAAAACTGTGGGCCAGGGCCCTCCGGGAGTAGTGGTTTCGCGACGCCCCCGACGACCTCAAAACGGCACGCCTCCGGGTATCGGGCCACAGACAGAATGGCAGAAATCTCAGGTGGGAGCCGAAGGGAGGTACAAAAGGGAGATATTAACCGCGGGTCCGACAATGCTCTTAATCCCACGGCTTGCACAAGGGATTCTGCTTGTGCAGGCTTGGTATGGCTAGCGTCAGTATGGTTCCAAGGATTCCATGGACTGTGGCTTTGGACGCTGCCACATTGTCCTCCATCGCTCCAGCTGCGCACCCACCCCAATCGGGCATGGGTCCACTGCCCTGTTTCCACGGACCTTAAGGTATCAAGGACAACTACTTTTAAGAGTCAAAACTGTACAAGCCAGCGAGTGCAAAGCAGTCGTGACTGCAAAGAAGCAACCGCTAGCTCAAAGGCCCTTATTTGCAGAACAAATCAACACAAGACCAGGTGAGACCAATGAAAACAAGAACCGGCACCCCACTCGCGGCCCGTCACCCATAGCAACTGCGCCACGTCAAGTACAGACAATGCAAAGAGAAGTTTAGTAGGAGCACCGGCATGCTTGATCTGCGGAAGGAACGCAGTTAAGATTCAAGTACTTCACTGCCCTGCACATCGGCCGGTTTTCCCTACATTGACTGGTCCACTGTGCTGCTGATATAGTGAGGGGCGTCCACTTGCAGGTGCAGACCCTTGCTGTCGTGTCAGTGTTCAGGCACTTCTTTAACAGAACCATTGTTCCGGCCAATTTGTTTTGGAGCTGTGCAAGCACTGAGTGGAGTTGTGTCAGCTGTAGCTTTGTTTTGGAAGAGTGTTTAAAATCACGGAAGACCAGACAGACCACGAACATTGCCAGTCATGCTTGTCTTGCCTTTGTTTTCATCTTTCATTTGCGATCTTTTGCTTTTCTAATTCTGTTTCGTTTGTTCTCTCATTCTTCCCCGAATCCTAACCTGGAGTGTCCGTTCGCGTAGCGTTCTGTGAACAGAATTTGCGCTGTAAACAAGGCGTTGTGTTTTGCTGGCCCCAAACTGTGGTTGCGTTCTTTTCCCCAACAATCGTTTTGATGACCTCAGACGCACCGCGTTTCATAACTTGGAACAGCCTGTGGCGTGAGCCCAACTCGGTCCGTCGGCCACAGACATTGCATGATCTTGCACGTCCTGCGCATGAGGGGTGCGCCAGTGCGAAAACATGTACTTCTATGCTTGCCCTGTCGAAACCACCAACATGTCCGCCTGAGCAGCAACCTTGGCAAAGAGGAGCGCAGCTCACTGTTTTATTTGCTAGTCAGTCGAGAGAACACTCAACACAGAAGTGTTCGCACGTCAGGAAAGTTTTTTCGCCTTCCAAATCCGCGCTGTGTGCTTCTGCCTTTTCCTGGCCCCTGGAATCTGGTCAACAAAGCGCGCCACTCTACTCCACGCACAATCTTTGATGGAGCCGGTGCCTTCGGAATGGAGTTCGCTAGTGTGTTGTGCGAGTTGGGTGACTTGAGTGCCTTGTGCTTTGAGCTGAACGTTAAACATATTAGCCTTTGAGCCGCGCAGTTCGGGCATAAAGTGCTGATCTTTCTTGGGGTTGGCTTTGTGCTTTCCACAACCAGAAGTTCGATCAGGAGGGAAAATGCTTCGTTGGTTTCGCGGGCAGTTACCGAAACCATCCGAAGCCTATGTCATAGATTGGGCTGTTCTTCTTTGAGCTAGCGGTCCTTCGTGGGGATTGTCGCCTATGATACACGCTGCGGCATGTTTTGAAGGAGAAGCGAAATCCATCATGATTTTTGTTTGAAGTTGGTGGTTGGCAGCCTTGAAGGCGTTCGTGACCTTGCATTGATCCTGCCCAACTTACCTTC